TTTGGGGGGGAGAGGGGAGAGAGGGGAAAGAAGGAAGAACAAAGAATTATGAAGAAGTGAAGCCATAAATAATACACAACAAAGAACATTTATTAGGTCATCTAACTCAGAACTCCAGTTTATGCCAGCTGATTTTTACAATGTGCTTCTGTATTTTAAAAAACATTCTACAGAAATCACAATGGCAGGCTAACATCAATAAAGCTTAGGTATATGCTATGGCAGAGGTAGAAACAGACGCTGCTTTGTGCCAGAATGTTCAATTAGCACTCAGGAAACGGATGGAGTTTCTGAGGACAGAATATGTGACAGAATACATCTGTAACTGGGAGGTTTTGATTATTCAACAAGATGCTGACTTTTTCACACTGGTAATTTTTATAACAATTGTTTCAAGGTATTAAATTGTTTTAAAAAAACATAAATCTATGTGATGGGAAACCAGACTAAAACATCTTCTACTTTTAATACAACTCCTCTTCTCATGCGTCCAGATTTTTTTTAATATATGTAAGAAAGAACTGGGGCCAGACTGTTCAGTATATGGTGTAACAGGGAATCAATCATATTTGCTTCAACTGGACTCAAAAAAGTTCAGAAAGACACATAATCCTCAGTATACTGTTGCTGCACCAGCACTAGTTATTTTTTATGTACCAACCAGATCTCTATGTAAGAAATGTTAAATTAAATGTGCTATGTATTAAATAATATCTAATTATTTAAGTATATGCTCACTAAATGCTTTTCATCAATTGATTTGATGGTACTCACACATGTGATGTCACTGTTACACCTACTTTTTACCTGCAAGTACTGAGAGAGGACATCACTGTTGTTCAGAGGCAGAGATCGGAATGAAAAGGAGGTCCCCCATCTACCCATGAAATGATACTACTTGAAAGGAATGGTCACTAATATGTTAGAACTTTTTGTCACTACTTCTCTCCAGTTTTCTATTTGTAACAAGACGATTGCTACTATATTGTGGAGGAAACACACTTTGAGAAAACATTCAGTGAAGCAGATCTGAACAAAAAAGCACTCTGGAGAATTATTAGAACACAGATGAAGCAGAATTACACTTGAATCAAGAGTAACCCATTTCTTACAGAAATAAATTCATTTGATGCAAATCAAATGTAAGCAAAATGAGAGTTAATGTCATCTCATATCTGAGGTAAGGCCTCAGCAATAGATAAAACCATAAGAAGTTACTAGTTAGCTTTCTAAGACGTAAGAAATTTAGCAAAACTTTTAAGCATTTAACCCAAGTCAGACTCAAACAATTTTTTCAGTGTTCAAATACAATCAGGATCACTGAGAGGGAACAGAATATATATAAAATGTCCATAACATCAGATAATTTCTTTGAGCCATGTTTCTAAGTCAGTCCTCCTTGCTACACTCTCAAAATTGTCTAAAAATAACACAATCCAACATGGTCAGAGGGGTTTGTCTATGCAGAAATATCTGTCAGACTAAGAGTATATTAATTTTTTATGAGTTTGTGAAATAGGTATGCAGACTGTGTCAAATTCCAGGTGTTTAAAATGTGCTTAAGTAATTTACTTGCTGAAGAAAACCAAACAGCAAAAGTACAAGCCAAGGCACTTCACAGTAACTGAGACTTACAAATCTCTACATATATAAGGCAGACAGGGGGACATGGGTGCTTGGCGAATTTTTTAAGAATGCCCAGTAAGATGCCACATCAGTCTCCAAAAGGAACAGTGGTGGGCTGCTGATGACCACAAAGAGCTTTGAAGGGAAGTAATAAATAATTTGTTCTGCTTCCCCTCCATGAATCACCTTTAAGTTCCTCCATGCCTCACTTGTTGGATATCCTGATATTAAACAGTGTTGAACACAGTTTCACGTGTAGTCTTTGATATTTACATATGGGTTAAAAATTCTAACTTCAGTTAGTAGAAGTTTTAGAACACACTTGAAGGGAACTTAAGATTAAATGACAGGATTTATTTTTTAGATTAACCTCCTGTGAAGTTATATTAGGAAGGCCAAATTTATTCTACAACTACCCTGCAATTATCATCCATGGTACTTTTCCAGCACATGTGAACAAAATAAAGAGGATGAACCAGGCCAAAACTTGTAGGTCTTAATGAAAGGCTTTAGCATTCAGTTCCTTACTCTCCCTGTGGAGGCTCTTGGCTTGTAAACTTTAAGTCCTTGACAGCTTGGTTCCCATAAGCTCTGCATACAGGAACAAACCAGGTGTCTTAGAGCAACGGAGGAAGGGGAGGTAGGAGAAATTACAAAGAGAATACCTTTGTTCTCGTATCCTTCTCACTCGCTCAGCTCGTTCTAGTTTATTTTGTTCTTCCTGTGCTTTTTGTTCTGTAGTGTCTCTTTGGATGCGCTCATTTAAGGCATCAAAATCTTTTGCTATGATCTGTAGAAGCCAATATAAACCTCTTTTTATTGATTTATCAATTTTTTTCCCATAGCCCGTAATGGCTGAGCAAGGTTCCTGCAAATATAAAGAGAAGGAGAGGAAACTTGCAGTTCAGATCACATCCCTTGACTAAAAACAAGAAATCAGCTAAACAACTATTTTTTGCTCTGAAGTTTGCAAAACATTGAGAAGTATGAGAAATAAATTTGCACATAGGTACTCTATAAATGTAGATTTCATACTGATATACACTTGGGACCAGGTTAACCGTTAATAAGCTTAGTAAAGAAACTGCCTATTTGAGTATATAAGACACACAGCTGCTCTCAGCTAAAATGACTTAGAATGTGTGATCTAGTTTCTTTGTTGATTACACCTCAAATATAAATGGAGAAAGAGAACCACATTTACAGGGACATGTCACAAATTAAGTAATTGTGAAGTATTGGAAAAATACACTAGAATCTTTCAGGTCTTTCATACTGATAATATTTTGCCAAAAAAAAATGGTTTTTGCCACAGAAGTCCCTTGGGAAGAAATTGTGAACTTGAAATTTTTATGACTGCTATATGGACAGTACAAAATCTGCTGACTGAAAAGCCCTCAAAGAATCATGACATCATGAACGTAGCTATGCCCTGATATTATCTAACTTTCTAGAGAAAGCAATAGAAGTATTTACTATCTTATGAATTTTGCAACTCTCCCAAGGGAGTATTTTTAAAATTTTAAACCCCAAATACCAGATGGAATGATTTTGTAAAATTGCCTTCTAATTTTGGTTAAGAACAGTGTAACTCATCTTTTACAATGATTCTTATTGCTATAAGAAAAGATTATGTAATTAAACCCCACAAACAGTTAACTGACAAACTGGTTGTTCAAAATAGGCTTAAAAAACAACTTCAGGGACTAGTGATTTTGATAAATTATCCAAACTATTGACCAATACTAAGTAGCCTTCATACAGATTTCTGGGTTTGGTTCCTCCCCATTCTCCTTTTGATTTTTTTTTTCTTAATGTGACTATGCATACTATATCTGAAATATAGTTATTTTAGGACAGATATTAACTAGCTCTAACAGGGTCCTTTGATGACTACTGCTCTGGTAATTAGATACACTAGAAATTAGTATAAGTTCTTACTGTTTGCCAGATGGGAACACACACTAAATTATGGCTTTAGCTATGAACAGAAATGAGACAAAAATCACATGTGTTTAGTGGTCCTTCCTGAATGTCAATCGAAGTAAATTCCATTTCCTACTTCTTTTTAAAAAAGGCAGAATACTAAACTTGCTGCCTAAATGAACAAGATTTAAAACACATTAGTAATTAATTTTTCTTACAGGGTTTCAGAACAGACCAGCAGGTGCCCTTTGAGAACCTTGTTATAAAGATCTCTTCACAAGATCCAGAAGCAGAATATCAAGATGGGCAGTAGAATTGCTTGCAAAACAGTGCTGTATCTTTGCTGGGATTGCAGCATTCTCATTCCAGTTTTATGCTTTGTGACAAAATCCCCCACATTACTGCAAGCATTACATGCACATTCAAACATGAAGCATCTTAAAATATACTTACAATTTGACATAGACACTTGTGTTCATTGACAAGTTTTTCTAGAGATAAGGTTTCAATTACATCTGCTTCTGACAGAGCTCCTTCTCTGTCCTGCTTATTTGCCAGCCTAAAGAAAAGATGAAAAGAAACAGCACCCTTACACCAGACAGATTTTACATCTCCAAAAGTGGTATTTTAGACAAAAACAGGAAGAAGGAGAAAGTAATGAGAAACTGCCTGGTTTCAGCTTTAATTCTTAACTTTTCTACCTGATAATCTTGTTAGTCTATGCACTACATTCAGCTGATACTAAAATTAAATAATTACTAAGCACCCATAGACAAAGCAATTGTATTTTACAGCAAAGACTGCACTGTTCTATACCTAAAGCTACATGGCACGATCTTTTGGAGTCTATGAATCAAAGTTCAGAACTTTGCAAGTTCCCAAACCATGTACATTTCCCCACATAAAACTGATCACCACGTGTTTGCCTATTATTGATGCCAAACAACTTGATCTGTAATGTTTTGAACCTGCTCTTCATAAGTAAAACTCAAAGGCTGGAGGGAGGAACTTCTATAAATCGCTCTAGAAACATCCTCTTCTATTAAATAGAGGGAAGAAAAAAAGATATATTAAACACATAGCTTACAAAATAAGTATCCTGTAAGATGAAGTATCATAGTCTTAGTTCTTAGAGATACGGTAGCAAACACTATGCCAAAAGATAAAAATCTTAATTTTGGGGGGTACCATTGTTCTTTAGTAGATTTGTTTTCTATATACACCATAACTGCATTCAATTCATAATGTGGCTATCAACAAGACTTCAATTTTTTGGAATAAAATGGATTTAAATTGGTCAACCTCAAGGAAGGCAGGATGGATTATAGGCATTATGATAAGTTAATGCCTCACTTTCTTAGGAAGATGGACTAACATCTTTTCAGTCATGCCCTGATAAATGTAACATGCATTATTCTAGTAATGGATAAATTGTCAGAAGTAAAGGAAAAGTGTACATAAAGCAATGTGTAGAAAATGTCAGAAAAAAATTAATAAGGTAGGTTTACCTACGTATTTAGGAATGTGTCAGACAAGCAGTTGTATTCCCCAAGAAGAAATTTTAAGAAGTAAACTTGCAGTCATGTTGGCCAATAATTTTCTGAGTTCACTTATAAGCACATTTTAATAATAAATGGAGATATTTAGATAGAAATCCAAAATATGTATTTTAAACAAAAAAAATGTCAATACAGTGACACACAAAGGAAATAATTCATGTTTTTTGAGGGTCTGAGAGTTGTATAAGGAACAAAGAAAACTACACATAAGTGGTCAAGTGAAAAAAGAGTAGTTCCCATTTTCCATAAAAACTCTTGGTGACAATAGGATATGTAGTCTTTCCTCTCCCATTACCTGCTTTTAATTAAAAGCTAGTAAAATAAATCTTAAAGGTCTTTTCCAACTTAAATGATTCTATGATTTTCTATTACTATAGCTCTAGGAACTGTGAAAAGATTACATAGTATTTCACAAGCAACAGAATAATCCCATTTAAAGTTACTATTCTGCAGCATGAAAACTAATGCTGTTTGCTTTGAACCAGTGTAGACCATTTTGGAATATAAGCATACAATGCAACCTGATTTTATTGTTGTTTTGAAATTTAGTGACCCTTCCACTGCAAGAGAACCCTGATACAACTTTGTGGATAAAATCACAAATGTTTGGCTTCCCTTAATGCAATGGAAAGTGGTTTTGGAACCAGACATCATAGCCTTTCTTTTGAAATCTCAAGTCATCACTATTAACTCAAATGTATTTTAGGGAATGTTAGGACAAGGCTTGCACCTTGGATTTATCGTACTCCTGGCAGGGAGGGAACAATGGCAGAAAATACTCCATAGTTAGCAGAACCTGTCAGCACCTAGGTTTGATGTAAGTCCTCATTCCTTCCCATTTGCCAGAATCACAGTATTGCATCCTTAGTTCTTAATTATTTATCTCCAAAGAGGGTTTTTAACCTCAAAGACATATTACAAGAAAAAGCTGTGTTGCATCCACTGCTCAAAAAAACATTCCTTGACCTCGTTAATGTCACACTTTGCTGACTTGCCTGCAGAGCTAGAAACAACAAGGTTTTTCCCACCCTCCTTTAATAATCTATTCACATTTCTCAAGAAAATGAGTCACTCGACAGTGCTTTGTATGATTTAGTGTAGAGATTCCCTAAATGTTGTTCAATGCATATACAGAAGCTACGACATACGCTTATGATACTCTGGCACTATTCCTTCTCACCAACCAGCCAGGAGAAGTATTATTCTCTCACTATTTGGCTATGAAACAGGGCTAAAGAGCGAAAAACTGAAATGGAATTCAGGAAAGCTATGGAAAGTAATTAGAAGATGGGAAACAATTATCTCTCTTTTTTTCCTTCATTTAACCTTTGCCACAATATGAAAATCTTGCTGCACTGTCCCCTAGTCTCAAAAATAATTACTCAGTAGTGCTGTCAATTCCTATCTAGATCTAATAGAAGAAAGTATTTCAGATCACAGACTTTGTTGTCACAGCCTATCCCTCAAGATTAAGTAACTACAATATTTACTATGTTATTGGACTGCACATTCTACAAAGCACAGCTGAAGCAGAATGAAATGTTGTTAAGCTGCATAGTTCAGTGTCAGTCTGACACTAATGTCCTAAAACTTGCAGTACCTGCTGATTTTTAACCTCTAATGTTCTGAAAGGCACATTATTTATCTTTTTGGTCAACTAGCTTCCATTTTCTCCACAGCATTCCTGTTGCAATGCTGACTGTATTCAAAAAAATACAGCTGAGGCACTGTATCTGGAAAAGTAGCATATCCAAATAGCTGTGTCCACCTTACGCTTCCCGAGAACTTAAGCGGTACAGCACAAGTCATACATTTCCTGCTGTAGACCCATCTGCTTCAGCCTTTAGGTCAAACTTATAAATGGACTTAAAATACTTTCAAGATACTGTGATGATGGGTATTATTTTTTTGCTCTTTTATTTTTAACCTTTTCAGGCAAATGCATTAATAGATCCATGACCTACCATTGCTGCTTCTTCCCTTCATGCTTTAGTGTAGAAGAAAGTAACCTCCACACTTACACTTGTGCTCCCTAAGTAGGCTCCAGTGCTCCACTGGCAGCTTACAAGGCCTCTATCTAGGGAGCTGCTCCTAGACACTTCCTGCTACTGGGCAGCTCCAGCAAGGATCCGCCTCTCAGCAAGGCTGGGTTTCAAACAGGCAGAACCAGATTCCCCAAGTAGAAAGCAAGCAATTTGCCTGTCTATTGCAGTGGCAGAAGTCAGCTGCTCTCTCATACCACCGCTCCTGAAGATGAACCCTTGGACAACTATATAAGAACTAGAAGTAGAATGCATATGGAAAATGCTTAAAGGAATGGCACTCCAGAAATTTATTTTGGCAGATATTCAAAACAATGTTTTCCAGATTGTACTGCAGCTTATTCTTAGGAGTTCCTCTGTATAAAACAGAAAGCCACCAGCACAGGATTAAAAGGTAAAGACTTTTGCTTTTCTTAATGTTTATGAAGTTACAATATCAGAAAAAGGCTGTAGTGTGGTTTAGAATAGAAATGTGCCTAAGTGACAAGACATAGAAATAATGGATGTCTACCCTGCAAAGAACTGGATATTTCTTTGGATGAATAGTCTCAGAGCTCTGCTGCTCATGCACAGGTTTTGAAGTTTCTATGTATAAAACTTATTTCTTTAGTGAATACATTACAGCTATCTCAAAGGATAGACCTTGATTTTAATTTTCCAAGTCAATAGAATGTCATATACAGCAATTTTTCATGTTTAAAAAACTGTAGGAGGTATATATCAAAACATTCTCAAAAGCACACAAGTGTCTATTGGTTTATCACATTCAGTTCGCTGAATGAGAAACTTTAATGTATAAAGTCATACTTGGCTTATTTTAATTTTGCATAAAGTATATTTGGAACCGTCTTAGTGTAACCAACTTATTTCATGCAAGAAATACAGAAATGTTATGCACCAAGTGCTTTTATACCACGTAGGATTTTTTTTAAGCAACTGGAGAGCTTTTGAATTTTCAGAGTCATGTGCAACAATGTGGAAAGGGAGTGTATGTGTGCATTGGCACAACTGACATCTACCGTTCAGTAACAAACAATATTTCTCTTAGAAGCCAGAGGACATGCCAGAGTAAAAAAAAAAAAAAAAAAAAAAGTCTGAATGCTAGTTATGTGGCTTCCTCAACCTGCTTCTAAAACAGAAATTAATAAGCAAAGAGGAACAAGAAAAAAAAACCACAATTAATCAGTATTGAAGTTTATGACAATGTAAAAGATAAGCTGGATAAAAGAAACAAACCAAACCAAAACCAAACAATACTAAAAGGTCACATAAATCTACCTCAGCTTTTATCAAAAATCCAGCTAAGTCTTAAAGAACGGGTTTACTTGGGAAGAGGGTATTTTCCATGCAGGTATGTGTTTGTTTTCTTGTTTTGCATATTTGATGGGGGTTTTTAAGCACTGTGCTTTCCAACTTAAGACATTTCTCTCTGCTTGTGTGGGATTCTCATACAGTAACATAACACTGAAAACTAAAACCTGTAGAGGGCACACGCTGGGGGTGTGGGGTGATCTGTAAAAGTGTATCAGAGATGCTGCTTTTGGGGCTCAGTTTACTCAGAGTCAGCTATCACAAACCCAAACATTTTGGGTCAAACCTACATGGTGGTCATCAAAATGAATGAAGAGCAAAGCACTCCTGAGGTCAAAATACTACAACATTATTAAAATTATCAACATGATTAAAAGCAATCTAAGAAAAATGTATCTATGAGAATAATTTATCTACACTCAAGAACATTACTCAGAGCTATTGTGCTCAAGTCTTTAGGGCTACTTCAAGAAGCCGTAAGTGTGAGTGACTGATCTAGCATTCCTGGGAAAACAAAGAAACGAGAACCTTGGAATTTCAGAGCAGTCTACACAAGGGAAAGAACAATGCTGTATTTTTCAGTCTACCTCGATCTTCTATTTCAAAATGCTATTCTACCTTTTTTTCCCTTCAGAAATTTCATCTTC